GCTGGTATTTATGCAGGGTTTATCACAGACTCACAGAAGGATGTACAACACACCCAAGGGCTCAAAGTCGGCTTATGGAGAAGTGCCACACTCAGAAAGAGTAAAGCAGGGCTCAAGGGACAAGGGAGCGCTTAGTTCTGTATGATTCAGCTGACACTGGACCTCCTCCCTGGCTCTTTGCACAGTTATAGACACGTGAAGAATACTTTAATCTGTCACAGCCTCTCAGTCAAAGCCTCTTCACCTGAATTTTCTACCGGCCTGACTACCAAACAGTTGCCAATGTGGAGAAATTCCCAACTAGTGTTTTTTAAGTATTTAGAAATCTGTCAGAATAAAGTATTATCAAGTTATATTTTGCTTTCTTAAAGAACAAAAATCATTATCTGTTCACTCCAGTGCCATTTGTTGGAGAAAACCAATTTTAAGTGAGAAAACATTTTGATGGAAAAATTCATGCATCTCATTGTTATGAAACCACTGATGCCCATCTTGAAAAAAATGAAACGAACAACACTGGTCTCATATGTTCCACTGAAGATGCAAGATAGAAATGAATAACCAGAAAATATAAACTTCTAATAATGTATCTTATAAAATTCCTCAGGATTTCTGAAGCACAATAGAAGTAAGCATTATCTCAAAACGTTTAGTTTTCTTTTACTAAAATACAAATGTGCCTTTCTGGTTGTTAGTAACTTCAATATCAGAGAAATAATACGTCTAATACAATGAATGTATTATCTATATAATTCATAATACTGAAGGTATAGTTGGAAATAATTTTTTTCTATGTATGAAAAAGAACTTTGAACCAAATCACAAATTTAAAATTTATATTAGAATTACCAAATATTAGGATTGATATAGTAGAACAGGAGTAGCTTTTAAGTAAACTCCTAATGTGTGAATATGGATTCATAAAAAAAAGACATAACCAAGACATTTACACATTTTATTAAAAGAACCAAAAATACACAACACAGAAGTAGCATACTAAAATGACTGCATAATGCACACTTCTAAACACAAAGAAGCAGAAGAGCACTATAATTTGGGGGAAAAAAAAAAACAAAAAAATCAAAGCATCTATCCTATTGATAGCAGTTGAAGGAATGAACTATTGCATTTTGGAGGTGAAGAGTTTACATCTGTGAACAATTGTGGTCATTATTTAAATTTGTAATTGTTGCATATGGCTAATAATTTTCGTATCCACAGGTATTTTAAAATGGACATTCTTCTGCCCCAAATATGTGCTTCCATTTTCTACATTATACTGGATTGTTGTTATATAAACATTACAGAAAGCTCTTTAAAAAAGAGTACATTTAGGAACATTTTTCTTAACATTTAAATGATTATAACTTGGGGGCATGCTAACAAATGGTTCATTTGCAAATAATTAAAGCACTAACAGCAATAATAAAAGGAAATTTATTTTGAAAAGGGCAAACCCAGAACCCAACAGTCCGATGGTCAGATCATTCTCTCAACTGCTAGACACAAAAGACATAGCAACAGAATAATTTGGTTTCCATCATGAACAGATAGCATCTGTATACAGACATAAAGCTTTGCAACCATGCAGTTGTATGACAGATAAATCTTTAGGTTGTGTGTTTGGGGAGAAAAAAGCATGGCGTAAAGTTGGGTTACTTTTAGGTCATGTTACAGAGGTATTTTTCTTAATTAAAGTAATACAATGTAGCAGGTGACGAGTGAGAATTTTTGCAATATCTTCTAATAGTGATACAGTTTTTCCTTTCAGGTATGCTTTATGGGCTCTAATTTGAGATCAAATTTCTCTGGAATAATCCTGCTTTGGAGTAGTAGTGGATGGTTCTTGCCAGGCCAAGTGAAGGCTCTGGAAACTATGAACTAGTCAAACTAAACCCTTTCCTGGGTTTAATAATGGAGGTCCCTTTTTGGCCTCAAGTCATTCACATTTTGTTATATTTCATTCTCTAATTTGACTTACTGAGATACAGCCACTGCGTGTAAGCTCCAAAGAGTTTGACCCAACGGCTGTCAGCATGCACAATATGCCATCAATTACTTGGTTATCTTTTGTGATGCCTCTAGGTTCGTTCTTACTATTTTATAGATGATTCTTCTTCACTTAAAATCTATATGTCTATTGACCTTATGAAAATATATTCTTGTGGCTTATAGATTCACAAGGAAATGTCAACACAAGAACACAGGGTAAGTTGGGAAAGTATATTGGTGACAAGGTTGGAGTTGGGAGTCCCTAACTAGAGAAGTAACGAATGCTTATATTTTATGCCAGTGGAAATGCTGGTCAGATGGTCGGGCTGTTAGTTGTATAGCTGACTCTAAATGATTAAGGGTTGAAGGGAGAAAAAGAGAAATTGCTCACCAACTGGCCCTGAGCTGTTGGACAACCTTAAGGCTTGGTTGCTTTCTGGCTTTGGCGTATCTTCCTGTCTCTGTGAGAACCATCAACATGGGTAGTGACACTGATACCAACTCCCTTAATCCCAGGGTGGGTAACTTCTCCAAGGCAAGGGTGACACACCCCAAGATGTGAAAGACTCAAAGTACCAAAGATCATCCCTCCTTAAACTTTTCTAACCTCATTGCCTGGAGGCAACAAAAAGTTAAATGGTGAGTGGTAGGTGATAGGGGAGCTCAAATTGCCAGAGATGGTCTGATTAAAACGTTCTTTTCCAGCTCCATATGTAAAATATGGGCCGGTTCTCTTCTGTTAGATAAAGCAGTAGGAGGCTGTGTGACATAGTAAAGCACTTTCTAGTCTTGTAAAGGTAAGTCAGAAAACAGCTTCCACTGAACAGTAGTGCCAGGAGTATTTTTGTTGTTGTTGTTGCTAGAGGGAACAGAATGCCCCAAGCTGGCCATTCTTAATTCTTAAATTAAGCCTGTCAATGGTTGCCAATTTGGTTTTGGGACCTGGATTTTAAAGGGGGAAATAGTAGTGAATGTTAACATTTTGATTGTCACTTAAATGGGTATTAATCAGTGTAACTGATACCTTCCAATCTGGAATTTTCTGTCAAAGATGGAATCTGCTGATCAAAATGGAACTCTCCATCTTGCAACATATAGGGTGTTTTACTGCTTGTAACCATTGAAACAAGAAAACCTTTGCCAGAAACCTGCCTGGTATGTGTGTGTGTGTGTGTGTGTGTGTGTGTGTGTGTGTGTGTGTGTTTACAATGGCGGTTAAATTCAAAAAACAAACAATCTTTGCTACTGGTCTTGGTTGCCAGAAGATGAAGTACTGTCACTCTGTCAGTGCTGTTAGCTGAAGCTAACCTGTTACTAGTCTTTTCTTCCAGTGAACTGTAGCAAACCAGAAAGCCTCCGCAACAGCAAAGCAACATCATGTTTTGGTTACGTCTTCTAGCAAAATCCCCCTTTTTCTCAAGGCCTTAGAAATAACTCTATCTTACTAACTTTTCCACTATTATCACAGATTTCTTATATTTAATAAACAAAAGCTCCAAGCATAGCGTTCATGGACTATGTACATAAGTGCAAAAAAGGTGTGTCTCACACAGTCGCACCCTAACTGAGACCATCAGTTTGCTGCAGCATATATGCCTCTCAAACACTGTTAAGGGGTCATTCCACAGTATCTTTATGTATGGTTTTCCAAATAAGAATTCATTTCAAAATACGCTTTCATCATTCTTCAATCCTCATTTGGATATATTTATGCGAGTACGTGATTCCAGAAAAGAGAATTTTTGCCATGATAGCTATGCCTCCTGCATAGGGTAATTTGGAAAACATAATGTCATGAACAAGGTCAGGTAATAGATTATAGATGCAGTAATTGTGTTTTGAAGTTGAAATACTGTGGAATAACCCTATCCACACAACAAATTCTATAAGCTATAAAGCTGACTCTAGAATCCATGTGTTGTAAACTTTTTGATCCAAAAGTCATACAAGGACACACATTCAGCATTTGCATTGCAATTTGGGATTAAAGTAAAATTCGGCTAGATCTGTTCTCTAAGGTTTGAGCTGTGTCTTCTACAGGCTCATACTGTCAAAAACCATGTATAGTTTACAAGTAAAATTATTCCCTAAAAAAAGTGTCTAAAGGTAGCCATGTTGTAGTTTTGTTGCTAAAGCAACGACAAAATATAATTAGTTAAAAATTATTATTTGTATATAAAGTTAAGTTTGTTCTTAAACTGTGAGCTGTAAAGAATAGCTATGGACTATAATCTCTATGTTGTCATGCTTCTGTGTCAGTGTAGAACCTATCTAGGTGGGTTGAATACATGTAGTAAAATCAAACTTTCTCTAACTCTCCTTCAAAATTAAATTCATTAATTACTTAGATACAAAAAACGTAGTAAAATGAAAACTTTAAAAACTAAAAAGAAAAATGAAAACATGGCACCCATCAGTGACTTGGTGCTCAGGACCTAGATTGGATAATTAAACCTACAGTTTGATGACGCAGTCAAGTAAGTTTGCAAAAAGAGTTGTGATACACTTTTCGATACTATTCATTCTGGTACTGGTACAATGAAAAATTAGGCCCCTATCTTCCGACATCTACTCAACAGAATTGGGAAACAGGATTTCTCTACTTCTATTTCAATGTGCAAAGAAATGGAGGAGAGAAAAAAAGAAAGAGGATTCCAGTCTCCAATCATTCTGTGCATAGCAACCTACCCTACAGGCTACAGTAACTCAGATACCTTAGTGAACACAGCCCCGTGGTGTGGGACAACACTCAACGGCAAGATCAAAGTGCTTTCACATGATCAAAAAAACGGATGGTGAAGGTGGATGGAGGAGGGAGAAGATGGCTATTTGCATGACAATGAACTACAAATTAGACTCTAGCCTAGACAAGTGAGATGAAATGCAACAGCTGGTTAGAGAATCATGCTCCAATTGCAAAAGTAAATACTGTATTTAAATAGTAATTTTATGAATCCATTTGGTTTTAATTTAATCTTTATCCCTCTTTAAAATATACTTATGGTCACATAGTGCCTTAAAAAATTTTTTTTGATACTACTAAAACCCTCTTAACAGATAACCTCTAGATTATTTTTTCTGTATACCTGACCTGTTTTATCCAAGTTTCAGTACTCTTGCCTAATTTTGCAAAAGGCTGAGAGAAACGGACAAAGACAATAATTTTGGATAAATAAGAATAGAAGCCCTTGTCATATACAAAGCTTATAAAATGTTAACTAAGAATCACAAGTGATTAGAATTTAATATATACAATTCATCCAGTAAATCGTTATTTAGAGTCACTGATTAGTTTTGTGACTTGGCTTATGAACTGCAAATTTATAGTCTAATGACTTTCCTTTCTTCTTTTCTTTTCTTGAATAAACATAATTTGAATAAGACATTGCACAACTAGTTTAAAGAGTGCTATCTTAAAATTGCTTTTTTTGTCAAAGTTCTTTCACATCTGATACAAACTTTAGCGCTTTCAGTTTTCTTTCTTTAAATTCATTTACAAAGCAACTTGTAAAATGCCAGCCATTATCAAATATTATGGCACCAAATCTACAACTACCCTGAATATATATCCTTCACGGACCCTCTTACTAGGTTTCTTGTCTATGTATATCTTTGCCAGGAGTTTCAAAGGTGAAACGAGACAGCGCGTTGCCGCGAAAGGTCGAACGACACAAAAGAGTTCATTCTGCACTGAAAACATTTCTAACCCCTTTAAGGAATACAACTGGCTCAGGTGTATCCTTTCCAGATTTGTGGGATTAGCTCTGCCCTTCTGGAGAGGGACTGGCACATTTATACAAAACTCGGATCTACACACAAGTCATTTCACAAAGGCGTACACTACTTTCTTCTCTAAGGATGTTAAGATTTTGGGAAACAGAAATTAAGTGGTTCAAGGAATCAACAGGTAAAAGTCAGGACACCTCTTGTTCTCTAACCCCAGGCAATACTGTTAACAGATGACAATGTCTTGAAATTACCGATGATCAGGATTTTTGGATTGAGAATGAAGAACAACAGGATGTCACCTACCAAACAGATATTTTTGCTCTTTTGTTCTGAACTACCTTGATCTGCTTCGGGATGGGGTCTCAAATGTTCCCAAGTACAAACAACGTGAAACAGAGGAACAACAGAAAGTCAGGAGAGTGGTTCGGGGTCTGACTGCCACCGATCAGGTAGGTAGCTTTGAGCAGGTCACATGCCCTGGGCCTCAGTTTCATCAATTGTGAGAACGTTTTGCCAACTTCATTGTTCTGTGATTCAAATGCTGCTAGCCAGCTTTTGAAAATCGGAATTTTCTCTGTGCCGGTCATTTTCATGAAGGAAAACAAACCTGTTATATGTATTAAATTTAAGGAATTGCATGCTTTCTAGTGAGAGAAAAAATGTTCAGTAGAAAAATTTAAATCCAAGTAGAAATGAAATATCATATGGTTTCAGCACTGTATAAGAACAGTAACATTAATAACTGAGTACAGTGGAGGAGGTATGTCACATGCCATAGGAATTCCTATTTTACTTGGTTATAAATTATTTCATAAATATTAGTAATGTGAATTCAGCTCAGCTCTATGGAGTATACAGCTGGTCTGTTTCATCCAAAGGGTGCTAAAAACGTCTGTATTATGCTTTTCAAATACATATAAAAACAAATGGATCTCAACAAAGAAACAAAGAAATGGCTTGGTTACGAAAGGAGAGACTTGTCAATCACGTCTGGGAAGGGCAGCACTTGGCATAGACGCCTGCTCCCTCACTGAAGTGTTCAGCAGAACTAGAAATTCAGTCAAATGGAAGCTAAAGACAATTGTGGACAGCTCTCCTAGAAGTTTTAACTAAATCAGAGAATAATTTTAAATGCCTTCCTACCCTCCCCCTTACCACCCTGCCATTTCTTCAAACCTATACTCAGGCTCCAACTGTGATCGGTTGGAAGATTGTCCATTTGGGGGACAAAAGCCTCACTTCGAATCAATTCTCAATCACCCTGACTTTTGCGAGATTGCATCTTACTTATTATTCAAAAAGACGAGTCTAAAGAACATGAGCCATTTGTATTCAGAGAATGGCACTTGTGTAAAAGGTTACGTTACAATGATTTTTACACACTTTCCTCCGAAATGTATGTAAAAACTATCTCCATGCCCCCATTTCTACTACAATTGGTGTACTTTTAAGCCTCCAACTACCAATTTCGAGGTGAACTTGACAAATGGCTCAGCTTTAGATGTTCAACCTAGGAGACAGGACCCTTGAACCACACACACACACAAAAAAGTAATGGGCACTTTATATAATTTTTTAGGATAGATGTGGAGAAATTCATTTACATGTAAATTGTAATTTTGCAAGCTTCTTAAGGAGTGAGGTTAGAGCTTCATATTTCAAGAAGTTCCCTGTTTTACGCAGGTAATTATTTCTCTCTCGCAAAAAAACTAGTCGCGTGATTGTATTATGCAAGGTCAAATCTGCAGGTACAAATTATACACATGCATGTTTATGAACAGGTTTTGCGCACACTCAGAATTGAGGCCTTTTAAAAGTCTGCCCCAAGAAACCTACAGAAATGTTCTAAAGAGAGAGAAAGCATATTAATATTAATCTGTCATGTTTTTCAAACACAGATATTTCTGTTTCCCGTTAGTAATTTTTTCGTTGAAATCAAACACCACACATCTAGAGGAAAATACAATAGTATGTAAAAACCTAACTAACACAACACAACACAACACATCACATCATACCACACCACAATACAATTCAATACAATATTGGGGAAAATGGTATTGGATACATTTGTTACATTCTAAATCAACCCAATAGACTATTGTGTAAACAAAACAGTAAGGTAACACTTCAAAACAGATGAACATTTATCCACCAAGAATGCGCAGTAAGCCAACAGTCCACTGTAGAGATTCACTCAGCGTATTTGTTATTGGAAAATCACAAAGAATAATGCAACAAAGTACAAAACATTACGGTCATGTTCTACCTAATAATTCAGATAAATAAATGATAGTTATTCATTTTCTATTTGTGATTTAACATCTCCACTGATTAATGTTTTATTATTTTGTTTGAATTTGGTGGTTGGGATGTGTGTTTTGTTTAATATATTGACTGCACCACACTTATTGTTGTATTGGTAGAAGACCTGTGAGAATATATATAGAAAGGCCATATGGAGGTTCTCATGGAGAGATCCTGATACTCCGTAACTCTGTTGTTCAGAATTTCGACTGAAATGGAAGAAGAAAGAAATAGTGAGAGATATTAAGGGGTTATTGAAGCAGGAGTCAGGACACTTGGCTCTCGTGCCAGTTCTGTATGGGAACTGCCAATATATTCCCCACCCTGAGTTCCATGTTCTACATCTGTGGAAATGGGGCTGTCGGAAACGGTCATCAAGAGTCATATACCATGACAGTTTTTCGTTCTTGCTGAGTGCTAATGTACAGAGTTGCCCTACGTTAAAAGAGATGCACTCAGTTTTTAAGGCATTATCCACACAATGCTTAAACGTTGTGATGAACATACACCCATCTCTCTACTTTCTTCAAGAAGCATATATTGAGAAAACATGTTTGATACCAAACATTTTGAAATACGCAAATGTTAACCAAACTTTAAACCTTTTAATCTGAATGTTTTGGAGCCATGCAGAAATAGCCAAGGTGTGAAATCAAGGTATATAGTATTTTACAAAATTATAGTTTTGAACTTTGGGGAAGTTTTCAACATCTGTTACATATTGAGGTGATTATGGTGTGCCAAATACCTCTAAGTTTTCTAATGGAATCTAGCAGAAAGGAATCACGATTCTTAAACGTACTGTTGGAAAGCTCATTATATTTGACAACTTTTTCTTTACCTTGATGTAAAGAAAGCAGCCCATGAGAATCGGGCAAGTGTTTGCAAAGCCCATATTCTCATGTTTGGTGCTATTCCCAAGTTGCCACTATCCCAAATGGTACCCCTGAAAACAATTACAATGTATAGCTACTTTAGTTATTCCATGTACTCAAAGGTGTCTTTTTAAAACATTCCTTATGATTGAAGGGACTTGTTTATCGAATGTGCAGTCAGCTATTGGCTCTGTCCAGGACAGAGTTAGTGTCTGGGGCCAGATTTTGGCGAACTAGTCCACCAAGACAACAGAACCATCACCTCCTTCAACTAGATCAAACACTCCAGTTCTGAGAACCTCAAATTTTCAATGACTAATACATGCCATTCAGAATTGGTACACTTGTTGAATCAGTCCCAATTATTAACTAATTAAGATACCTAGGAGTCTTAAGTGGCTTGAAAAGTCACATTTTCCAAGTCAATGACTGATCAAATTTAGAAGGTGCTAGGACCGCTCTGGACCCGGAAAAGAGATTAAGGGTGTGGGGGTTGGGGAAAGGGGAACCCAACAAGAGCCCATCTTTTTGAAAAAGCCATGATTTGAATGAAAATAATGATTACATTACTATACTATGTCACTCAAAATTCAAAATAGCTGGAGCAATTCTGATAGACTTACATGGAAAGCAACACAAAATGGCAGACTTTAAAAGCACTACTTTCTACATCTTGGGAGCAGCCTACTGCTTACTGGCTTTAAGATATTCATCTTAGTCAAACTATGACAAAAGTACTTTGCTTTAATTCAACACTAACAAAAAAAATGAAGCTAGAAAAGTGTTAAAGGATTAAAATTCAGAAGTGATCTGTGCCTTGGGCTGATAAATCATACTCCTTTAACAACAGGAAAACATTTCAGAATTTGTAAGCGCACTGGGAAAATAACAGTGCTGGCTGTCATTTTTCACAGAAAATTGCATTATTTGCTCTCCACATTTCAATTTGGACAATTGAGAATGCTTAAATAAAGCTCTAAGTTATAAGCAATGTCTAGCAATGAAAATATTAACCAAAGCCCTTAGCAAATGCAGTTGTGTAAATAAAAGATATAACCTATACATATTATTCATATTAATACTTAAAGCAACTTACTGTTCTACTGGTAACTTCTACATCTGTGAAACAAACATGCTGCTATTCAGTTCATCTATTGATAATGGGGGTATCTATAGTAGTAAAAAAGATTTTAGATTAAAATAGTTTCTCGAGAGAATTCCATTTATTTTGTTCACTGTTGGGGCATGGTAATTAATAACCATAATCTATTTCACAGAAAAATTTAGACATATTAACCATATCCACTAATAGTTAATTTCACAGAGCACAGATTTGAATGTGGTTTGTTCCCCCAATGGATTAATCCTCTATGTGCCGTGTGGTTATCATACTTGTAAATGGAAGCAGCTGTGGACTGTGCAGTCTTGAAGCATGGTTACCACCTTAACAAGGCAAATCAGCCATAACATTACACGACAGTTATTCTATGTATCTCATTACAATTTCAAGACTCTCCCACAGTTTAGAATATGTCTTGTGACTCTGCCTGTAAGTACCTAAAGGAAATGGGAATCACAACACAAGCACATCATAATGTCAGTATGACATCTCTGATGTCATCACTGGGTAATGATAAGGATCTCTGTGCCTTGGAAAGAAATGTGTTATCTTGCTTTCTTTCCAGCAGATCTGAAGGTAAAGGTGAGGACTGTACTAAATGAAAGTTCAAGCGCAATGACCAAAAAAAAATGGTAGTAAAAGAAAATAAATTCTTCTCTTGACCAATGAGGAAGCATTTAAGAAACCCTCAGTATATGGATTTGAGGATTGGTGTGACAGCAACAATCATGGCTATGGCATATCAAGAGCAACCTCTGGTAACTGATTGAAAATGAGAAAACTGTGGATTCGTCTCAGGATGCATGGCACATACATCCGGCTAGAATATACGCAAAGAGAAAAAATCTAAATGTAACAACTGCTTAACAAACACATAGGAATCTGGATCATCTCTCGCCAATCCAAAAAGCATATACTGTGCCTTACCAACACACTGTAGTTATCTGAACAGGTAAAATAAATGGCCAAACCTGATTGCCTGCGGCTGTTGCAGCGAAGGGAACGCTGGTGGCAGGTGGTGTTGCTGCAGACACAGTGGTAGGTGTTGCACCGTGCATCATGGGCACTTTCAGTAGGAAACCATGGAAGCAACACACGGGAGGGTGGAGAATTTATGCAGCCATGACATACACGATGGAGTGGGGTGTGGTAGGTATCACAGCAACAAGCCATGTGACATCATCATGATGGATACACCAGGGTGCAACATGCAATCACAGTCAGTGCAAAGCAACACAGCGTGGAAGGGGAAAAAAATTTAAAAAGAGAAAAGGGGAAAGCCAATTATAGTTACCATTAAGGAAAATGGAATCATTCTCAACCACTCAACCAGTTAGTTGTTTTTGTTTTGTTTTGTTTTGTTTTGTTTTTGTTTTAGCAGAATCACGCTATAGTTGACGTAAAAGGCCCCGTTTTCAGAAAGGGCTACCATGAGTGTATAGGACAGAATCTGATTTTACCAAGGCTGTCTATAGAAGTACCTAGTGAAGCAGACAAGTGGCTGGGTTGCACATTTGAAATGTGAGTGTGGAAGCGCGGATTGGTGTTTGGGTTCACTAACATATAGACCTGAGTATCGTCACGACATTTGTAGGTGCAGGAGAGCTATAGTTGTACTTACCTGATCTACATGCAAACAACAAACCAAAAAAGGTAGTTCACTTGGTGGGCATGTGTCTGTTAGGGGAACAAATATGAAGAACATGGTGGACTGTGCATGCAGATTTTTAAGTGCAGCTTTGGTAAATCCCTTGGAAATCTAGGGTTTTACCAAACAAACACATGGGTGCTTCATAGTAAATATCTGACAAAATCTTGTCTTCATCCCAATTATTACAGCTGTAACATCTCTTTCAGGATGGTCTCTTTCTGCCTTCTCTAGCCTCTATCTCATTTTGAAAGCTTTTTAGATGCTTTTCTCCTTCCTAGCTCATTTTGGAAAGCAAACTAAGGAATTAATGTGTGAATGGTGAGCATGCATATATAATAATGCACGTCTATATCCACTGGATTCAGAGTTTCTGGAAGTCTACAGAGCAAGTAAATGGCCTGGAGAGAGGAAAATCAATATATACAACGTCACAGAAACCATAGATGTGCCCTAAATGGTGATTAATAGAAATCCTGCACTTAGCCCTTACATATATCGTCAGTTACCTGTTACCTATAGACCTCCCTAACTGTATCACATCCGACTCTAAAAACACTCTTGTTTTCCCTTTAGGAGCATAGCAACTATACAGGAAGAAGCGCCACTGAAGCATGCAGTTTGCATTCCTACACAGAGCTCTTAGGTGAAAAGACAGGGGAGCAGAGTCACAAAATGTTAAGACAGAGACACATTTGCCCAACTTGCGGAAGTCTATTCTAACCATGTGCGTATGATGATCCTGTCAGTATCCGTGGAAATGTTTTTACTTCCTTCAGGGGACAGCTAATCCCTCAGTAATAGGGCTCACCTCAGTGGCCGGGGTTCACACCCTGCCACTGCTATGTTAGCGAGTGCTACTACTATGTGGTTGTCATTACGGCCTTCCATTTTATTTCAGTAAACCTGCCAATCTCTTTTGGGTTCTCCATCTACTCTGGGCAACCAATAGGATGAAGGTCAAGCTGTGGCAAGCTCTCAAACAGGATGAATAGCACTGGATTGATATGAGATGGTGGCGTGGGGTGGGATGGGATAGTTCCTTCCTGTATCACACAGAGCTATTTTCTCCTGGTCTGTGCCTGGTTCCCATGGACTATAGGAGCTAGGAACTCCTGTAACAGAAACATATAGGAGCTGGGAACTCCTGTAAAATTAACAAGTCACTTTCTTATCTTCTTCAGTATTGGTGATACAAAAATGGGCTTTTATTTATTTTTTATTGTGCATGAGAGAGAGAGTATGTGTGCACCTGCACATGTATGAGCAGGGGAGGGACAGAGAAAGAGAGAGAATCCCAAGCAGGCCCTGCGCCATCAGTGCAGACCTCAATGCAGGGCTTGATCTCAAGAACCGTGAGATCATGACCTGAGCCAAAATCAAGAGCCAGACACTTAACGGACTGAGCCTCTCGGGTGCCCATAAAAATGGTCTTGAGATGGACCCCGGATTGTGTTGGTGACTAACTAAAAGACCTGCATGTAACTGATCGTTACAAATCACACACTCCCAAAGAGTCATTTGAAAGGGTTCTGTTGGGCCTGGTTTCCATGCACATGGCACTTCATTCTAGAACACTACAGAATTCATCCCAGAACACTACAGAATGCTCTCGCTTTGCTTAACTCATCGTTTCACAACATTTGAATATTGGATTTATTTAGATCTCATGAAAAACTCTTTTTTTGGAGGGGGGGTTATTTTGTGATACTTTACAAATTATACATTTGAAATCTTTTAAAGTGTGTTAGTAACAGATGTAAAGCTAAGAACAAAAGTGCCCACTCCGGCTAGATAAGGAAATGTTTCAAAATATTTCAGCTGCAATTTGTAGGATGCAAATAGAGACAGGGTTAGTATTTGGCCACAGTGGCAACCAACTAGGTCTCCAGAGCGTAGCAGTGTTGAGATTCTGCAAAGACGTGAAACAGCACCATATTAAATCTTAAGTCCTCAGAAAATGTCAAAATATTGTGAAAACATCAGCTTTAAAATACAGAAGCGCAGAAATGTGTTATTTTCTTCTTATTTGGAATGAGGTGCCCTAACCTGCTTATGCTCAGCAATGCAACTGCTTTGCTGTGACTCAATGTGTACATATAAACTGTTCCTGTCATGACATAGTTGCATCAGAACAGTAGGAGGGGGGAGGATCTGGTAGTGACAGTGGTGGAAACGGAGAGAGAAACAGCTTCTTGAAACTTTTGTCACAAATATGCTCAGCTTTCCTTATAGCAAAGGTAGACTCCAGTAACATTTTCAAGCTGCTTTACCTTGTCTGTTTTCTCTCTTCTTTGTGCCCCGACTCCAAATGCCCCCCCCCCCACAAGCTAGTAGCCCAGGAGCCACATCACTCAGTCACTCATCTCTTTCACAGTCATGACAGAAAAACAGTTTTTTTTCAGATTAGAAAAAGTTGAGAACGTTTGTACAAAACCTACCAACACTTGAAGCGGGTGCCATGCACATTATGGGCCCTGTACACCATGCAGAAAAGCGTGAAAAGTAAAGGAGAGAGATTTCATTATTAAATCTTTACTGAGAGAAATAATTTTTAACCAGAAAGATATCTTTCCAATATTAATTAATAAGCACATGCAAATCCAGTAATTTCCCATGTTTACAATTATAGCTCAGTTTTAAGATCACTAACCCAGGTAATCAAAGTAATTCTTAGATTCTTAGGTATAAAAGCGAACATTAATTCTTCTTTAAAGGAATTATCCCACCTATATTACATTTTTATTTTGGGCACATTTTACCACAGCCTCCTCTTCCTCACAAGCATGGACTGGACTATGAACATATGGCAAACAGGCTTTTCATCAAGAGGGGGTGCTCAGCCCAACAGGTTTTCATTTTGCTATTGATTAAGAGGAAAGGGCTTCTCCTGACATTTTGCTCCTAAATCTTAGACTTCAAATTAGCCAAGTCCAGCAAAAAAATGTCTAAAAATTGTGTTTTTAAAATGATATCATAAAGAACTACTGTGTTTAGCTAAAAGAATAAAGACTTTTTTTTAGGTCTTCTTTCCAAATTAATTAGCTGATTAATTTATCAATTAACCAATGGGTTGTTTCAAGGGCAGGTATATAATAAAATACCCTGTTCTTAGTATGCCTATATAACTAATAAGGCTTTCTAAAATAATTTTAATGCATGTCAGTGTCATTTCATAATCTACTGTACTCTCACTGATCAGGATTTTCAATTTATTCCTAAGACATTATATGTTCATTCTTAAAGTACTGAACCATAGCAAGAAAGGTATTTCTGCTCACATATGATATTTATTTGAACAAAATTTTATATTCAATTTGGTACAAAACTGTTATGCTATTACATATAGTTGAATGTAGAAGGTAACCAAATATCCTGCATAGTATCAGGAAAATATGATAAACTGCTATATTTTTTATACAATTTTATATATAAGAACTGCTATAAGAGTTCAAGGCTAAACTATATGTTTTATACATATATATACACACACACACAACTATACCTATAGTGTCATTGTAAGACAGTATATAGTATAGTTATAAGACAATTATACCTATAGTGTTGTTATAAGACAGTATATAGTATAGTTATAAGATATTATATGTATATGTATATATATATATACACTGTGTATACGGTCTTATAATGACACTATAAGTTTCAAGGGTAGTTTTATTATAACTATCTTTGGCATATCAAAGATCTATAGACTACATATTATTGCAATGCTGAAACTGGGAAACATTTCTTTGAGGGGTGACCACTGTCTTCTAAAGGGATACCTAAGAGTCAAGGAATTAATTTGAGACTGAACAAAGTGAATTGATCTTAAGAAGCAAACACTAAGACACGTTAAAAAGAAAAATGTTGACCGTTCGGCCTAGTTTGATTTTAAACCATTCATTTGCAGGAATCATAGCAAAACTCTGGTTCTCTAGACTAGCAGATCAAGTATAACTGCCTTGTTTGATTTGATTTCCAACCAAAACACCTGTTGACAGGCCTCGCATAAAAAGCTCTTTGGCAGCTCGTGCGCTCTCTATACATTCACACCATAGCGAAACCCGCGGAGCCCGGAGCCCCTGTTCTCACCTGCAGGGATATATGCCGGTGGCTGGAGCTGCAGGCCAGCCAGAGCCTGCTGGCAGTGGAAAACACTGGGGTTAAATACCGGAGTGGCACCATTGGTCTTTTCAAGCGCCGATCTCTTTGGTATCAGTTGAAGTGCACCAGGCTGAAGGGCCTGTGAGGGAGAGATGGAATAATAAATAGCGCCAAAGAAAGTAACAAAACAGCCTCAAGGCAAACAAAGAGGCAGCTGGATAAAGGTATGGCCCAGGAACCCTTTGCAAGGGTATCCATTGAGCAATTCACTAGATGAGTACTTAGCCTGAGACAGAAAATAGACAGAAAAGGGGAAGAAAACTGGTTCTCAACTTCACTTATTTAAGCACATAAAAAAGGCCCTCATCATTTGAGCAAGATGTGACCCAAAGCTGTGAACAGCAAATAATAATTTAAAATTAACATCTCCGGGATGTCCATCCATTAACCTATTACAATAATATGGGCAGAAGCAACAGATATGGGAGGAAAGAGATTTTTGCCACTTAAAATTCCAACGTGGATCTAGGAGGCAAATGGTATACAGGTGATAAAACAGATGGCAGGAGGTCAGAGTTTGATCCGGTAGCTTCATAAAACAAAATCGAATTTATATAAGGACTTCAGGTCCAAATTCTAGAACTGTGCTTCTTCCAATTACCATGTAAGGGAAAAGTAAATAATTTTCTTCCTCACTACCCACCTCATCCAAATAACATGGGCAGTTAGCAAAATTTGCGCAATTCTCAATTTATACATGCTCGCTGTGCATTTTGGGATGTACCACCAGCTTCGTTAAGTCCTTGTAAGGTTTAATTCTAAAATGTATTAGATATTAAAACTCTCCTTTCATGTCCACACATTTCTTTCAAAATCTCACGGTGCTTATGATACTCGGTCAAATTTGCTCCTGGATCAGATTCACTGGGAAAGTTGGACATGACTTTCTACATTTTTTTCTCAGCAAATTGCACATGACTTAAAAGACATGTCCCAGCGATAATAATGAGGTATGCTCCAAATTCTTAAGGAGCCAGGAACACTTCTGTTGAGTAACAAGAATTCCATATGCCAAAAAGGGGTATGCCATGACCTTCTTTTTCTTGTGGATAATGAAGTCTGAAGTTCTCTCTCTCTCTCTTTTTTTTTTTTTTTTTTGGAAACTAAATATTTACCCTTCATGCCTTTTGCTTTTAAATGCATACATGTTGCTTTCAGTGAAGTCAACCTGAGCTATGCACATGAGAGGGTAAAAAAAAAAAAAAAATCTTTCTTTTTATGAAACATTTCAGCTCTGAATCCTTCAAAATATAGAAAGTGTAAATTTCTTCAGGAAGCCTTTATTTGATCTTACCGCAAACCAATTGCTGTGGGCCAATCTGGCCACACTACGAAGACTCTGCTCTGGCCAGTTACTTAGAAAGGAATTTTATATTGATATCCACAAGTACCAAATGAAGGCCTACTAGATAATACTTCTCAACATGGAGATTTGGAACTGACTTATATGCATCCTACCAAACACACCCAAATCATGAGAAATGGACACATATATGAAGGCCCCATGACTGAGCATGGAACAGGTACAAAATGGCATAAGCAAGCCATTCCTTATACATCCCATGCATAGGAGAACCTTTATTTTTACGGGAAACTGTATTCCTCTTCTGTATCATAGGCCCACACTACTACTGAACTCCATGGCACTGACGGAAGTAATAAAAAAATTGGAAGTTTAAAATCTGCAGTGAACATTCTGGATACCTTGCTATTTTCAGAGTTTAAAATCCCTTCCTTCAAAAGAATTTAAGACAAAAACCATTTGGTGAAGTCTTTTTAAAATTCATTAACAGACTGTTTTCCAGATCAGGAGAAAAAATAAGTTTCTTCTACTTTGGTGCCTCACATCTTTCATGAAGTGATGGGCTCAGTTCCTTTTTTAAAAAAAATTTTAAATGTTTATTTATTTTTGAGAGAGAGACAGAGTGTGAGCAGGAGAGGGGCAGAGAAAGAGGGAGAAACAGAATCTGAAGCAGGCTCCAGGCTCTGAGCTGTCAGCACAGAGCCTGATACGGGACTCGAATTCATGAACTGTGAGATCATGACCTGAGCAGAACCTGAACGCTCAACCGACTGAGCCACCCAGGTGCCCTGTGATGGGTTCAGTTCTGAGAGAAGAGGGGAGATGAAGCAAGTCCTGAATCTATGAGAAAAGTGTGGAGAAATTTGGAGTATTTGCCTTAGAAAAAAAGACATGAAAGTCCCACTCATATGGCATAGGGACTTATTTGATGTAATAAAATTTAAGTGTAAGTTCCAGTTCCAGCAAGATCAACTTCAACTCAATGAGGAAAACCTTCTTAACAAGTACAGATGTTTGAAAGTACATGAAACCTTGGATCGCGAGTAACTTGTTCTGTGAGTGTTCTGCAGACGAGCAAACGTTTCTAATAAATTTTAACTTGATAAACGAGCAATGTCTTGCAATACGAGTACTGTGAGACACCGAATGTCATATGATCACAACTGAGCCAATGGTTCTTGAAATTCGTTTGGATATATGAGTGCTTTGGATTATAAGCAGGTTTCTGGAACAAATTATACTCCCAAACCAAGGTTTTAATGTAAATCTATCTCTTTTATGAAAAGGTAAGGTCCTGTCATGGGCTTCAGGATCCTTAGGTGCTTTTTTCTCCATGGCCAGGAAACATGAGGTTTCCTCAGGGTTTTGTCCCTTATTGAGATTATTATACCCTATTGCATGAGGAAAGGCCCACATCAGAAAAAGAAATGAATTACAAGCAGCTTATCAAAGTAATTGACAGCTATGGCAAACTTAACTAATCATAATTCTTATTTCTCAACCTATCACACTGTAGTGTTATGCATATATTTTCCCCACCTGCTACCTTACTGACAAAGTGTCCATGAAGGTGGCTCACAGGGTAGAGAGGCAACTTCCCGTCTTTTTAGGATATTAGGATTAGTTAAGCAGGCTATCAAAACTACTCAAAAATAATTTACTGGTTAAGTTATATAATTTACTCTTTTCCTAAACATGGGAGAAAAAGCACAGTAGATTGAAATCATTGGTAAAGCTTTGAAATAATTATCCTTAGAAAATTAAAACAATTTTTTTAACGTTTATTTATTTTTGAGAGAGAGAGAGATCGTGAGCGGAGAGGGGCAGAGAGAGAAAAAGACAGAATCTGAAGCAGGCTACAGGCTCTGAGCTGTCAGCACAGAGCCAGACATGGGGCTCGAACTCACGAGCCATGAGATCACGACCTGAACTGAAGTTGGACGCTCAACTGACTGAGCATCCAATAAAGATTTTCATATGTTTAGAAAATTTTAGCAAATGAAGCAGAGTAGATAGGTTTTCTCTAGTTTATAACCTTGGCTAATTCATACTAAGATCCGCTCATGACGATTCAAGATTATGGTTATATGGATATTAGACAAGTTGAGGAATGTACTAACATTTACCCCTAAACAGTCCACAACCCCTGGCCTGTCCTTACCATTGCGGAGGCAGCTGAATGGTTCATCTGGTGATGAGCTGCCCTGAGTTTGGCTTGCAAGTGAGCAGGTGGATGAAAGTACTTGCATTTCTCCCGGGAGCATCGCCCTTTGATGTAATCCATGCAGATGGTCACCGTATTATCGCTTGCCTCGATCATGGACACATCTGTAGGGTGAGCGTAGCGGCAGTCATTCTCACCACGGGTACAGTTTCCACGCTGAAATTCTCGGCAAACCTTAAATTACAATAACAACAACACATATCACATGGATGCCTGGGAGGTGATTAGCTTGTATTTATTTTGCCAGTGAATGTTAAGAGCCAAGAGTATTAGTGATTTTGTCATCTATCTAGGAAAAATGTAAAAAGCTGAAGGATAATGTAAAGCCAACTTCATGCTGAGATGTCAACATAGACATTTCTAAGGGAAAAAAAAAAAAAAAAAGTATTCCACTATCCCCAAAGGAAAGTTGTCTTTTAACACTATTGTTGAAAACCACTTTTTAGGGGCGCCTGGGTGACTCCGTCGGTTAGGCGTCTGACTTCGGCTCAGGTCATGATCTTGTGGTTCGTGGGTTCGAGCCCCGCATCGGGCTCTGTGCTGACAGCTGGCTCGGAGCCTGGAGCCTGTTTCAGATTCTGTGTCTCCCTCTCTCTCTGACCTTGCCCTGATCATGCTGTCTCTCTCTCTCTCAGAAATAAATAAAAAAAAAAATTAAAAATAATAAAAAAAGAAAACCACTTTTTAATCTTCCACATAATTCACAGCCTGAAGTTTAATTAGCCAAATTTGCAAGAAGGGGTTATGTTGCTAAAGTCCAAGATGAGTCTTTGTCATACAGCAATGCAGTTTTTCCTGGCAAAATTGTGGATCACAACTGAGTTACATGTACAATCAGATTCCATTATGATACAAATGCCAGGCATTAACGTCAGCCAATGGAATTGACTTTGTGTGAAATGGACTCGGTATTTATTTCAATCTAGGAAGAATGACAAGGGAAGACTGAAGGACTTCCATAAATCAAAAAGCTGTTTGAAGTTTCTTTTAGATTGCCTTTTCGTAGGCAGCGGGGCTATTCTTTATCTAGTCCATCATTCTTAAGATGGAGAAAAAGGTTTGGACACTACAATACTCATGTAACATTCTGCATTCATAGAGACTTAGTCTACTTTTTTTTCTTAGTTGGATTATTCAGGCAAGTAGAGACTCATTAACAATACGGTGATCCCAGTCTGTAAAGCCGAAGCCTGGGTAAAAGGAACATTCCCATCAGCCCTCCTGTGCCATAGCAAAGGGGATGCACAGTCCGTGGCTATATCTGTAGCTACGATGGCAGTAGTGAGACGTTTAATATTTTTCTGAGGTTATATGTCCTAAGCTAAAAACTCAGGTGTACTTTTTGAAAGCATTCAAAATGCTGGGCCCTGAGAATGTTGCTTTATGCATTAGTTTATACTACCCTATAGGTATTTGTATATTTCTACATCAATACCTCCAGTTTATCTGAGCGCATCGGTTTGGGACCAGCAGCTCCTGGCAATGCGAGAGGCGGGTTTCCAGAAATCAGAACAGGTGCATTCGGTAAAAGTTCAGCAGGAAGCAGGCCCATCCCAGGATGAGGTAAGTAAGGATTGAAAGCCATGGCAGGATTAGCTGCAAGTGGTGGATTCACAGGAAAAGAAGTCTGCATGTTTAAAAGAGGGGGAAAAAGCCATTAGAGGTAAATAGATTCTAGTATTACACAAGAAGGCATTCTTTCAAAGAGCCTAAGCCACATCCCAATTTACCATTGTTTCTTCTGATTTATGCCGCCAGTGATATCACCTATAAAGGCAATCTGCCTTGTGTCCTTACACAGGCATGGCCCTTGCAGGCTGACCTCAGGTTCTCCTGAAAGCCTCTCCCTTCCACCCTCCTCCTTCCTCTTTCCCATCAGCACCGCCCAGCCCTAAGGCTGCCGGTCCTACGAAAGTTCCCACCAGTCCTACCACCAACTTACTTCTCTTTTTGGCCCACTATCAATTACGGAAGATAGCAAGGAGTGAGGAAGCAAGGGGTAGATCAATACAAGGTGAAAGGTCTAACAACTTCTTGCTGTCCACCTAAAATGAGATTGGAATGGTCATTTTTTAAAAATTAGAGGTTCTGTTTCACAAATGAACCTGACTTGCCCAGCCTCGTCTTCACCTAGGGGGCCAGATGATATCCATAGCTCAAAAGGAGGCCCTAAAAATGCTCCAAGGATCCCTGCTGGCAGGGAGAAATAAGGTAACAGGATTTGAAGGTATATAAACTAGAGTACAACTTGTCAAGAAAAGCATTAGAAATGCAAAGGGCCCTCACGGGTTTTTCTCTTATGAAAGTCCTAATCTCAGAGAGCTTGATATATGTATTGCCTTTATTATCTGTAACCATGTAATTTATCACTTTATGTGCTATTTTCCAGCTTGTTCCACATGTGGGAATCTTTTCTTCTCAATATGGTTCTAATTTCTTTGATAGCTCTCATTTCTCTACTGTAGTACCTCATTCTTAGTAAATGACTGATAGAATCAGTGATAAGGTTTAAAAAGAAATGGAAGCATTTAATGAATTAATAACAAACCGTGGTTAAATGCAGTCGATTTCTAACAGGACTCTGTAAGGTAGAGATAGTGTCTTGGTGTGCACCTGGTGGTTTCTCTCGGTGTATTATTAATAGCATGTGTTCTTTCTTGTTATTTCTTTCACTAAATAAAGAATGAATCTTTCACCCTGTCAAGTTGTATCCATATCTTCTGCTAAATCACATAGGGACACCTCTAAGTATAGGTAGAATGGGAGGCTGTGGAGTATGAAGTGAGGGGCAATATATATATTCACCAACCCACCCCCTAGTCTGACTTGAAATTTTCGCCTGCACGGCCGTCTCCCCAAAGCCCATTAAAAACCACATGCCAGGGGCGCCTGGGTGGCTCAGTCGGTTAAGCATCCAACTTTGGCTCAGGCCATGCTCTCACAGCATTGTGAGTTCGAGCCCTGCATCAGGCTCTGTGCTGACAGGGCAGAGCCTGCTTGGGATTCTCTCTCTCTCCCTCTCTCTGTTCTTCCCCCACTTGCACTGTCTCTGTCTCTCTCAAAATAAATAAATAAACTTAAAAAAAAAAACAAAAAAAAAAAAACCAATCACATGCCAACATGGAAGGAAGGGGCTTCCCAAATAGCATTCGACTGTAGATGACTTTCTCAAAGTAGCTAATTGGCACATTAGGAAGGACAGAAAGAACTTGACCCCTGAAAACTGACAGGACTCACTAGGGTGAGCAGAGAATGCATGGCAGCCACGAGCTGTCGGTGGACGGGGCAACACCAGGCACCCAGAAACATGATGACACAGCCGGGGGAGAGGCTTTAAGGTCTGAGGACAAGCTGTCTAGGGCTGACCCAGCCCAACTAGGCATTTGTGATGTCAGGCTGTAAGGACATGCCATACTTCTCACTGAGTGAGATATGAAGCTCCAGGAATTAGCTGATGTGATATTCTGTTATATAATGAGATGGAAATCTCTTGAAACCGTCTCCCAAGCATGCTTCCACGATAAGGCACAGTTTATCAATTCGATGGTGCATGGTTGTCTCAAAATCAATAAGGATCTCTCGTTGTAAAAACTTTGCATTTGAACCACACAACAGTACTCTGTTTTCCTTCTCTTTTCTGTCTGACTTTCATAGTAAATTTCTCACTGAAGTCACCATGCTGTTTCTCCTGGATACTTTCTGCCACTGTCTTTTACAGAAGTGAGAAGAACCATTATTACAATCTCTTTGAAAACTAGTGAATTAAAAGAAAGAACTGCAGGTGAGTGGGTTTTCCAGGTTAAACATCATTAGTCGCTAATAAATTCTGATCAGTTAATAAGATGTAAGCCTAATGCACATAAGCGATGCTTCATATTTGCAGTAGCTCTGAACTTCTGTGATTTTTTTCCTTCCTTTTTCGGGGAAATTTTCCTGGTTAACTTCTGCTTTCTTTGGGATATATTTTAACATTTTTAGGTTTGTTATATGCTTCAAGTGTATGCAAAGAAGTTGTAAATTACTTAGACGTCTGTATAAAAAGTGCAAGGAGCTTGCTGAAAATATTTGGATTTTTTTCAGGTTTTGCCACAAACTATACTGTGCCATATTTAGGTTTTGAAATGAGTATTAAAGCTTTTGTAACCATTTCCTCCTTGAGTAAAAACTTCATTCTTTAACATTGTGTATTGAGAAGTAGCAAGTGTTTCTATGCACAACCCTCAGGACATTTTGGTCTTCTTTCTACCACCTCTGCCCCAGGGTAAGTACTCTATTGAATCTGCACATTTCAAGGGCTCAGCTTTGCTGGCAAGCTCACACATTCCATCTGAATAAGCAATTTTAATCCTGCCTATACCTCTCCTGCAGCGCTGCCTGCCAGTGGAGCTAACAAGAACCCATCTGTGGGGTAAAGAACCTTTTAAAAAAAAAAGTTCCTAGCTGGCTGAATCTGATTTCTATTTATAGCCTGAAATGGTCCGGACGCTTAAATCTGTTTCAGATATCCACTCGAACCTAAATTATTTACTAAATATTTGAAAATATGAGACGGTTTTTCTTCTTTTTTTTATTGTCCTCAGAGAAAATTTAATCGTATATATATATATATATATATATATATATATTACAAATAGTTTATTGTCAAGTTGGTTTCCATATAACACCCGGTGCTCATCCCCACAAGGGCCCTCCTCCATGCCCATCTCCCCCCTCTCCCCCCACACCCATCAGAAGGGGGGAAATAGTGGGGGAGAGGTAGAGAGGCAAACCATAAAAGACTCTCGAATACTGAGAACAAACTGAGGACTGAGACGGTTTTTTCCTCTGAGAACCAGAGGCGTGGAATTTCAACTTTCTCCGAGTGTTATAAAATCAACAAGAATGGTGGAGACCACCAATTCATGAATACTAAGGTCACCTAGACAGTTATTCACTCCCAACGTCTCCAACGGCATTAGCTGGTAGTGTAGGAATTCCCAAGAATGATTGCACAGTACCTAGGAACCACCAGGGTCTTACAAAATGCCTCCTAAAAATCAGTGATAGCCTCTAGAACAGTGGCCCCTGATCGTTCTTCCTGGACTTCACTGAAAGCTGTGTACTCTGAATATGGAACTTCCTCAGCAAGTTAAAGCCCTCACAGAATTCCCACTGGAGTTGGGTTATGGACCAGTCACTGTCTAAGTGCTTGTGATGTAGGGTGAGCGGAGGCAGACTCCAGCCCCTGAGCCAAATTGGGCCCACGTGTGTTTGTATGGTCAGGAGGGCAAACCAGGATGGTTTCTACATGTTTAAAAGGTTAAAAAAAGTAAAAGATGAATACTATTTAATAACACATGAAAAGTATATGAAATTCATATTTCACTGTCCTTAAATAAATTCCACTGTTCTCATTAGGAGATCTGTATTAACGAAAAGTTGGACATATTTGCTTTCTCTCTTTTTGGAGAAGTACCTACACAGTATCCTTGACTTTGCCTCTTATGCCACAAAGCCTAAAATACTTACTAGTTAGTCATTTACAGAAACAATTGCTGACCCCCATTCTAGAGGGTTCTAAAAAAGTAAAGCGCTCTATCAATTTCTGGGGTAAAGCGCTAATTTTATATGTATATGTATATAAATTTAATACTTGTGGCAAGATTCTGCAAGTTGAAAAGGTTTGGCTTTAGAAACCAATACTAAAATATTCACTAAAATATTTTCCTAATTGGTACTAAAATTAGGATTCTTCACTTTTTATTTATAGAACAATAAGTACTCAGTGACTAAGAATGGGGAGATAGATGGAATCTTGTGAAAGGTAACATTTTAGAAGCCACATAGAATTCAGTGAAAAACTATGCCTGAAATGAATATTTCTAGTTTACACATACATTTTAGGAATGTTGAGTTATTATTTGAAGTGGGTTTTCCCTCAAACTAGTATAAAGAAATAGATGTGAAGTGCTATGCTAAATCAATCTTTGTGTCTCCCCAACAGCTTAGATCTATTTGTAGTTACTTCAGTAATACTCAAGGTCTGTTACAATAATTGTTGGATGAATGCAAGATACTTTAAGTCACTTAGGCCAGTCCTTGCCTGAAGTCAACATAATTGAGGCCTTCCCTCTCTGAGCTCCTGTCTGGAGGTGGACGACTAAACATTTCCTTTTATAGGATGGCAAACATTTGGTAATAATTTGTTGACTCGATTTTAATACCAGAAAAATAACATTCCTTAACTTTTATTAGCACTTGTAATACCTTAATTTTATTGCTCATTGACAAACATTTATAGAGTATAAAAGGAAGCCTGGCTCACCATTACTATGTGAATTTCTGTCCTTAGCTAGTCCCAAGGCACTTTGAAATGTGTAAGTTAGTTTCTCCCAAACTTTACTGTTCACATGGAGCACAACTGAATTTCTTTCAGTTTTTGCTTGGTCATCTTCACACTTTCTGAGTGATGTTCTGTGGGGACTGAGGTGGCCAAAGGGTACGCTGGAGGAGGCCTGCATAACCGCCAGACTAGTTAATTGGTCCCTCAATAATTGAGTTGACTTTATAAACAGATGCAAACTGATAGCGGTGTTTATGTACTAATCATACTTGTTAATGAAAAGTCACTGTGGCCCAAGAGAGAGC